TTGTTATGTTAAACTTATATTAAAGTTTTCTTCATTATCCATTCACGCCGTCTCCAAGCGTTATAATTCTTTTGTACAGAAAAAAATCAGAATTTCTAATAAATTATTTTTGTTAAAAATTAATGATTCAATAAAGGAAGATGAGTATTGAGTACTACATGTTGTCTTCATTTCTTTTATCAAAAACATTACATGCAAAGTAACGTGACAAATTAACAATAACAAAATACATAAACAGATATTAACTTTTTTATATTATTTTACTCCTCTCTCTCTCTCCAGCTGCAATTTAGTTGATCAAACCTGAGAATTTGAAGAAAAAAAAAACACTGTAAAGTGTGAAGTACTTAAATAATACAATGTTAGTAACACAGATAATAAAAGACTGTCAAACTTTGTAACAAACCGTTGGTAAAACTTTTGTATTTAGATACGCATCGTATCGACTATCATGATGAGATAATAGTAATAACACACAAAACCATCTTTCAACATACAGTTTTAACACTTTTCATTGCTTTAGGAAGACAGTGATGGTCCTTATAATAAGATGTTTATCAAATCATCTTTATATTTAACTGGTATAAACTGTTAAAACGTGGCTATATAATCATTGGTTATGATGTTCCATAACTGTCATTCTGAATAAATCTCCAGCTTATGTTTTGAGAAACAAAATCGAAAATATCTTGAAATCAAACTATTCCCAAAGTTCACTGGGTGTAGATTTAAAATCGGTGTTGAGAATAAAGAACGTTTTCAAGGTAAAGCACAGAATTATTAAACTCCAACGTTGTTTATCGAAATGTTTGTTTCTCGATGTGGATGAGGTTATGTAGAATGATGTTTGTTGTTGTTGTTTATTATTAAGTACAAAGCTACCCAAAGGGCTATCTGTGCTCTGCCCAGCAAGGGTATCGAAACTCAGTTTCTAGCGGTATAAGTCCGCAGACATACCGCTGTGCCACTGGGGGGGGGGGCGTGTATATCATATAAGAATGATTTGATGAGAAGTGTTTGTAATTTCTCAAATGTCTAGACCAAGAATATGATGGGACTGCAGATCGTTAACAGTACGTAGTTAATATACGTTTCCAACAACAAACAAGATGTAAGAATCAAAGAAACCTTGACCATCAGGAAAGTTAGACTAAAGTTGAATTCTATTTATACAAGTATGTGACTTTTATGACAGTTTGTTTGGTTGCAGTTGAACATAAGGCTACACAATGGGCTAGCTGTGCTTTGCCTACCACGGGGGTATCGAAACCCGATTTCTAGAGTTTTAAGTCCGTAGACTTACCGCTGTGCCACTGGGGGTGGTATTTAGTTATAATAGATATTTTGCTAACTTTCTCTTTTTAGATAGTTTCATAATTAAAATAGGAAAACAATAAAACCGATTGATTTTCAAGAATTTTGCAATAATCTCTGAGATTTATGTAGTAATAGTAAACGTACACATAGGTCACGTGATCTAGCTAAGAATATATATATGTGACAGTCTTGTCTTGCAAGCTCACTACTGACGAGAACGTGGTAAACGTTGAAACATGTAAAGCCCACATTTTAGAAATATTTTTAATTATGTATCGATTTTAACGTTGTGTGTTGTTTATTTATTATTTTAAATTACTGGATATCATTTCATTCTGCCTGTACCATTCTGCTAATCTTCCTCGATATCATTTCATTCTGCCTGTACCATTCTGCTAATCTTCCTGGATATCATTTCATTCTGCCTGTACCATTCTGCTAATCTTCTTCGGT